GGAATTGCAATATCAGTTAATAATACATTAGATAAAGAATCAGGAGGAATTTATGGAGCTTTACCGTACATGGCACCTGAAGTTTTGCAAGGAAAATTATTTACTAAAGCATCAGACATTTATTCTTTCGGAATTATTATGTGGGAGATTTCTTCAGGAAATATTGTATTTTCAGACTATAAAGATAACGATTTAAGATTGACACTAGAAATTTGTGAAGGTTTAAGACCAACTATTATTAAAGGCACAGCACCATGTTATGTAAATCTTTTGAAGAAGTGTTGGGATAAAGATCCAGAAAAACGGCCGTCAGCTATGGAAATTCATGAAATTATTTCAAAATGGAAAAATAGTACAGAAATTTTAACTGAATTTTTAAAATCTGATAAAGAAATGGTGATCGAAAATAATGACTTTAACATTATAGAAGATAGTTCAATTTATACTAGCAAATTCATTAGTTATAATAACCAACATTCACTTGAATACACGAATTCCAACTTTATTTTAACAGAGATTACACCAAATTTGATAGAAAAGTTTAATTTTAACCATGGTATAATAATAAATAATCGTGGAATATACTTCGCGGATTATTTAGCGTATAACTTTGAAATACAGCCCAAAATCAACATTTTAAGTGATACATCAGCAGGAATGTTCCAAATAAAACTAGTGTTTGCCACCAAGAAAAGTGAATCTTTTCTATTAACAAATAATATTGATTTATATGCAATTAACACAAACAATGCTAGCTGGGTTTTTAATAGTGATAAAAACCTTTTAACTGATGAATCGCCAGTTAATGATATTTATCTTGAAATGAAATATTCAAAAGCTGAATTAATTTTTGAAAAAGAATCGATAATACCGTCTAAAAGTTTGATTGAAGCAGTGACAAATGCTCTAGAACATGACAATCCTTATTACGAATTAATAAAAATTTTTAAAAAATATGGTCATTTCTTGCCTAAAAAGGTTAATCTTGGATGCAAATTATATAACATGTCTTATTTAATTGTAGATGAAAAGCATCCTGTTGAACAAATTGGTGAAAAAATTGAATGGAAAACTCATGATGATTTTAAAACTGATAAGCACAATGACATTTTGAATATTTTAAATCTGTGGGAAAGTAAAATAAAAACGTACGATTTCGATACCTCACATTTAATATCAATCGACGGTACCATTGTAATGAGAAATCAGCTTGACGAATGGGTAGCATCTTGCTTAAAAAGTAATCCTAATTCATTGCAGGTTATTAGTTGGAGCGAATTGTATCCATTATATGAAATATTTAACGAATCACTTTGTAAGGATGTTAAAGGTATTCTTGGAATTAATAAAAAAGTACTTATGGCAGGGGTAATTTCTGTTGATGAGCTCGAATATTCATATTATGTGAAATTCTCTGATACTTTGAAATCTAATAATTATCATGTTTTTGGAAAGCTTATGACAAAAGAAGGAGAACCAAAAGATGAAATAGTTGTCAAATTCGAATCTACTGATATCTATGGATTCTTTGCTATAATTGGAAATTTTGATTCGATAAAGTCTGTATTGCTACCATTAATTTTTAGTAATCAAATAAGTTAATTATCGTTATTAATCTATTATTCTTATTAATTTCAGAGTGAAAGAATGTGCAAATTTGCAAATAACATGGATATTGGTCGGAATACCTGCTGATATTGGTTTTTTTAGCAAAGATACGCGTAAAATCGCAGTAACTTACTCAGATAATACTTCATTTACGCTTCAAAATGGCAGAAAATATTCGACTGTATTATTAAAAGTTCCTGAAGATTTATCAACCAACTCTATTCTTATTACTTCAATTAAATATCCTAGATCAAATTATGAACCAAATTTTGTAACCAATATTAAAAGTTATCACGATAAAGTGATTGAAATTGATATATATGCTCCTGGATTAATTAATGAGAGTGAAGTTAATGAAAGTAAAATCGAACATATTAGTGAAAGTGACGTCGAAGACATTATTGAAAGTGAAGACGAAGATGTTAGTGAAAGTGAAGTCGAAAATATCAGTGAAAGTGAAGTTGAAAATAGTATTTGTGAATATTCACTTGATTGGTGCATAATTCTTCCAGAAAATCAGGAGGCCAAAAATACAAACGACAGTTCTTGCCTAATTTCTGCAATAGCTCACCTAAAAGCAATAGGTCAGAATATTTATACTGAAAAATTGAATGTAAAATGTACAAGTTGCAATCGATATCACATATCATCTTTGTGTCAAACCTATAATTCTCAAGAAAGGTCAAGTGGAAATAAGGATATTGATGATTATATTGAAGAACTTCCATAAATGATGATAATGCGAACGAGTGGTTTCCTTTTAAAGAATGATTAGTGGAAGTTACTCAATTATTGATGATTTGAATGTTGTTAACTGTCAAAAATTGGAAAATACAGTATATTCTCGCAATAGTCACATTTGAAATAGTCCAATCTCGCTATCCCTTATTCTGTAGAGTTTAGCAGGCAAATTTGCCTGCATAATTACTATAAATATATCACTGATCTTCTTTTTAATTATTTAAAATATTTAAATAAAATTTAACATGATAATATTTGAAAATAAGGGCTATATTTTTGCAATATTTGTATTTATATTATAAGACAAAAATTTTAGTTTGCTTATAAGCTAAAAATAGACAATTTT